CCCAGGAGATGGCCTTGGTAGGCTGGGGGAGTGGTAGGGGTAGCTGCTGCAGGAGTGGGTCGAGAAGCAGTATGTGTCACTGATGTTTGCGGAGAGGAGCCCAGAAGCTCGACCATGTGGCTGCGCCGGCGTGGACGCCCCCGAGATGGTAGATCTTGGCGCAGGACGCCCGGATCCAGAGAGGCCAGCTCTTGGGGACCGAGCAGAAAATTGTGTACAGCACGTTGATGACCATATCCTGGCGGATGAGTACCGCGATGAGAAGGTTGATGGCGACCATGTTTCCGATCCAGGGGCGATTGATGCCGTTGACATACAGGGAAACCAACGCCCCGATGTTGCCCAGGTATACCAACATAAGCAGGAAACGGTAAGGGATGAAAGCGCGGTGCACAAGGTTTCGGAAGAACTTTGCCCTGTCTTTGTTTGGAAGGTCGGCTTCGAGGTCGAAGCTCGTCGTATCTTCTTCCGGCTTGACGATGTCGAGGGTGGTGGTGCTGGACGCCATCGTGATTGACGTGGTGGAGTTTTTCTCCTTGACGTGGACCACCCCAGCTTCCTGGTCCGAATTGTACCGGGTCGATGTAGATGGCGCGTAAGAGCTTGTGTCCTGTCCGGGCGGCATAATGAGATCCTGTCCGTGTCCTTCCATGACAATTGTTCGCAGGGCGGCCTTATCAATCTTCCCATTTTGCGTGAGGGGGATGTGGTCGAGGCCGTGAAGGTGTTTCGGACGCGAGTAATACGGGAGAACTTGCTCCAAGTGTTGCATGACCTCCCGCGAGTTGCAGTCTGCGGGGTGGAGGAAGCCGTGGATATCTCCGTCGATGAGCATCGCGTAGGCGTTCTGGACGCCAGGCGCCGCCGCCACGACATGGGCGACGCCGTCGAGTTCAATCCGAAACCCCTGTGACTATTAGCTTCGGTCGGTTTGGCGAAACACTGCCACCAATACGCACGTTCACTTTGACCTGGTCGTCCTTTCTGCCCATAATCTCGATTTCCCCGGATTCAAGCCACCTCCCAAGATCCCCTGTGTTGTACATCATGGACCTGCAACGTGTGAGTAACCATGTCCTGTGCTAGCTAGCCGAATTGGTCCCCTGACTTACCCGTCGAGGGCAAATGGGTCTTTGCGGTATTTTGTAGCCGTCATCTCCGGCATGCCGACATAGCCCCTGGTAACTCCTCGACCTCCGGCCCACAGTGTCCCGACTCCACCGACGGGAACCGGCTTGAGATCATCGTCCAATATGTAAACCGAGTTGTTTGGCGTAGGCGTTCCAATCGTCAGTTGTTTACCTGGCTCGTGTCGAAGCATGGTGTTAACAATGGTAGTCTCGGTTGGCCCGCAACAGTTGTAGTAGGTTCCGTGTGTTGCCCACTTGTCCGCAAGTCTAGATAATCCGGAGTCAGTGCAAATCTTCAGCCTACGTCGCCTACACAGGGCCAACCTGGGAAGTTGTTCTCTCACAGTTGATTGCTTGGTTCTCCAGCGGTTGCCACAACCTTGATGTTCGGGAATTGGTCCGTTGCTTTGAGGGACAGGATCGAAGGTGTGCAAATCAAAACATCGATCTAAGTTCTGCCGTTAGACTTACTTTACCATGCTAAAGGCACTGGTTCATCATATTCACCTCTTTAAGCGTAGGCACCCAGTCCGAGCCACGTAGTACCAGTGTTCCGCCATTGCAGAGACAGCCAAGAATTTCCCAGGCAGCTGTTACATTGTTAGTTGAATCAGTAGCCCGTGTAGACGATAAAGAAAGTTTGCTTACCCATGTCGAAGCTGATGTTGAGAACCTGGCCAACTTTGATGCTTGGCCGGATTCCCAGGCCGCCCGGTGACATACTCACCAGGTTGGCTACGTTGGAATGTGTAACATCAACTCCTTTGGGTGTCCCTGTTGTCCCTGCTCTAAAGTTAGCCTCTCCTCGCCCGGGCACCTGGCTAGCAACTTGACTGTAGGAATTCCACGAACCGGATGTGTAAATCACGTAACACCCGCTCTGGGGCGTGGCGAGATCGATAGGGTCGAGTTTCCCCTCGTCTTCGGTTTCGACTGCGTCCTCGATACACATTAGGCGGCATCCCCGAACTGTGTCAGAATCTGTCTTCTGTAGGCGTTTCTGCGTAGACTTGGTGCAAACAACCAAACCACCACCCGATTGTGAGATGACCGTCTCCAAGGCGGCCTGGGTCACGACCCCGCCGTCCAATGGGACGTACTGGGCACCGCATAGCAAGATAGCGTAGATGCCAACGAGCATCTCGATGCTGCGTTTTACAACTAGTGGCACTCGATTTTCTGGGCCAACTCCAGCCGTGTGGAGGCGTCGAGCTAGCTGTTGGCCGCGGATCTCCAGGTCCATGTACAACATCTCCCGGCGATTGTCGGCCTGAGAGAGGTCAATGGCAGCGACCGATGCTGGGTAGTTGCGGGTGGCATGGCGGATAGCAGCTGTAACCGTGGGAAAGGGGCATGGTGTCGTGGGCCCCATGGTGAACGACTGTTGGCACGCATTGGCCATTGTCCGGTGTTTTTGTGGCCATAGCAAACGATTCTCGCCCCCCAGGTAGCGAGGAGTCTAAGTCAGGTATGGAAGCTTGTCTGCTTAATTTCAAGGAAGAGCCATAAAAGTTAGGTAGTTTAGTCACCGGTGATCAACCTAGAGTGGAGGTCAGGAGCGAGGCTTGGGGCCTTTAAATCCCTAGCTTAACAACCATGGTCAAAGGACACTTCATCTCTTCACCACCACGCGGCACATCGATCGTCCCATCCATCCATGTTCGCTCTTTGGCGCCTCGCCGCCACCTGCGCCTTGTGCGCCAGAACGGGATGAGATTCCCAACACAGCCATCTTCCTTTAGAGGTCCGTTCCGCATCCGTGCCCCTGCATCGGGGGCCGTCTGGAAATGGAAGCCGTGGGTCGCGGTTGCAAAAGAGGTAGGGTTAGGCTCTGGATAGGCCCTTGAATCTTGAAAAGTTGAGGCAGTTACGGGTTACACTCGTATCAAAGTTGCGGAGCGCCGTCCGGCGCCCTTACCTGGTGCGTGTTTTCCTGGGACCGACCTGCCTGGCTATGTTGCATTGCATCCTGGGCGGTTCATTCGCACGAATCAGAGCCGCGTGAAACAACGGGGCCGAGATCGTGTCTTTGGCGATCAGGGACCGTTACGGAGCCCATCTCAGCGCATCTCGATGCAGGGCTGGGCGGCCCGCAGATGTTGCAACGGTGGGTTCCCAAGACCTGCAATGGCTTTGGCCGCACCTGCAGTATGTTACAACCATGCAAGGTACCCCCGGTTCAAGAGCTGCCAGTCTCGGTCGAGGTCCGGGGCAGAACGTGCCTTACGTGCCGATGACAGAGCAGCCAGCAATCAAGTCTCGTGCCTTGTTGTCCCAAGAACTCAGGATTTCACGACCGGTTGGGGAACGGGTTGCTTGCTTCCTCGGTACCTAAACTGCAAGTAAGACGAACTGGTTTCCCGTTTCCACAACGGAGAACTACCGTGTCTAGTGTGTAACTCGATGTGTAACCACACAGTTGCCAAGTGCCGTCTGCAATAGGACGCTACACGCCCCCTCCCCGCTTTCACATGCCACAAATCTTACGACACGCTCAGTTACACCAGCATCCTTTCGTTCATTCATGAACCCAAGGTTGTGCCACCGGCCTCTCCGTTGACCAAAGAACTTTCCCATCATTCGGTCTCTTGGTCGGTTCCTTCTTCGGTCTCTTCTGCGGCCATCACTGCGGCCATTGCCACCACAGTGACCCTCACGGCGACCAACAACGCACCGCAACCCCAACGTCACAGCAAACACAATATGATGCCATCCCCCATACTACGCAGCGATCCAGCGGAACACGTCCGCGTGCTGGCCATCAACAGGCCAAAGAAATACAATGCTCTATCGCAAGAGGCCATCAACCTGCTCCTGCAGGAGCTCCAGGATGCATCAGATGACGACAATGTCCGAGCCATTGTCGTGACCGGGACTGACGAGCTCTTCTGCGGTATTCCCCGAACCTTGACCTTGTGCTCTCCCCTTATGGACGGAAAAACCCGGGGACCGAAGATGGGTGTTTTGGTCGTCCCCTCCCGCTGACAAAGAGTGCTGCCAATCTGGCGGCGTGCTCTTTTCTCAGCAGGCGCAGATATCCGAGAGATTGCCGCTTCTCGATACCGAGGCGGCGACTAAGAAGCGGTACCTGGAGGACTTGTGCAACGGCATGGCCGAGGTGAAGAAACCGCTGCTTGCGGCTGTCGAGGGCGCTGCCGTGAGTGGCCTGCTCGGTCCGGTCATCGAGCCGGACCTAATCCCCGAGGAGCTGAAAGTTGAGGCTGACACCACTATGACATGACATCTGCAGTTAGGCGGCGGCTTCGAACTTGCCTTGATGGTGGGTGGCGTGTTTCATTACGCTCCAGGCTTCGATCATTCTCATCGACTACTCCATGTCCCGAGCCGTAACCCTCATCTCCCGAACCCCCGATGATTGATACAACGTGCTAGTGCGACCTCATCTTCGCATCGACCAAGGCCACGTTCGGCTTGCCTGAGGTCAATATTGGGTTGATCCCCGGGGCCGGGGGAACTCAACGCTTGACAAACGCTGTAGGAAAATACAGGGTGGGTGCCGCCGGACCTGGAACCTAAGAACCCCAACACCTTCTTCCCAGCTCTGACCATACGCTTAGGCAATGAAAATTATTTTGACTGGGGAGTCCATCTCCTCACAGGAGGCCCAGTCCATGGGTCTCGTTGCCGAGCTATCCCAGCCAGGCACCGTGCTTGACGATGCGGTCAAGTTCGCCAATATGCTCGCCCAAAAGAGCAGGGCTTCGCTCTCACTTGCAAAGGAGGCTATCTGTCAGGGTAAGTGCTTGCCTCTGCGGCCTTCTCAACGCCGGCTTTCGTCAAGCTCTGCCCTAACTCTCCATATCAGCGGACTCTCTGGGGAGGGACGAGCAATTTGAGCGGAAGCTTTATTACTCTGCGTTTAGCACCAGAGAAAAACGAGAGGGTGTCTCATCCTTCCTGGAGAAGAGGGCGCCACGCTGGTAATCCATTATCGCTGCCTGCTAATAGTCTGTCTTTTGGATAACTTCAATCCTCCAAAGTTATGGGCATTAACATCCACGACTCCAAGTCAAATTCGCCGTCAAACAAAGCCCTGCTCTCCGGATGGCTCGGACCCAACGTCCACTTCAAAACACAACCGCTCACCGTCTGCCCGTCCGCACAATGAATCTAGCAATGGGTAGGCGTCAAGGGTAACCATAACCAATCTCGTATTCTTGCAATTTCTTCTGGATTGACTGCTTGCCATAGCCTGCCATGGACGCGGCTCTCGAGCCCATTGTCCTGGCTGGGAAGTACAACAGGATATGCGTTCCGCCATAGCTTCAGTGTATAGCCGTCAATCCACGCGTCTTGGTACTGCGTATCCATCGAGTTCGTTACCAGCATGAAGAATAAGGGATCCATCAACGGGCAGTAGAAAAAGAAGTTGTAGTACTCGACATCATGCTCGTCGCGCTGTGGAAACGCCATTGCCGCCATTGTTGCTATGTCTCCGGTGCGATCTAGCTGGTGAAGATGATGTAGCAAGGAGAAGCCTTCGGACGGCGTTGCAGTCCATTGTTCATTTTCCGTGTGAGCCTCTGCTGCCCCCCAATGGTCAGCCTGGAGACCCGTTCGTGGAAGCTGTGAACCACAGCAGAAACACTTACCTTCCACAGTGGCCAGTTCTAGTGCTTGTAGTGGCGTTTCTATACTGTCATCCCAGTCTTCCGGCTCTTGGGGGTTGTCGGATGTTTCCATTGTGAAAGGTAGCGACACTGATAATCTTTAAGTGTTCAGCTTTTAGATTGAGGGTTGTCTTTCCTTCATAATCTTACTTCGCCATGAAAAGGACTGAGGGTTAAGTGTTGAGCGAAGGGCAGTCGGACCTGCCTACCTACCTATCATTGCCGGTCGCTTATAAAACTGGAAGCTTCCAGGGGATTGCATACCTACATGGATTATGCCATACTACAGCAATGGGAGGCAGGCGCTATGGTGTGCAGCAACTCTGATCATGGGTTTGATGGGCCGAGGGCACAACCGGATTTGGGCGGCCAACCAGGGGGTAGCAAAGGCCCTATAAAGCGCTTGGTTGTGTCTTGCCCCGTAGTCATTTGACTCGTTGACCATAAAAACGATAATGGGTGCGGAGAAGTTGCCAACAAGAGGGAGAAGGGGCTTATGAATCGACTGATCCCTTCGATGCCTCTCGTAAAAGAGCGCTGCCCGATGGTCCTGTGTCTGGGTGTTTAGGTACGAATGTGTGTGCTGTTAAGTCACGGTACTGTAACTCCTGATTTCCTAGGTAGAAATTGTGGTGACCACTGTGTTGGCATTTCCGGGATCACTGCCCGCTTCAAAAAACCAGCGCTTATGCCCAGCATCTCCCAAAGGTACCTAGCCATTCAGCCTGGTTTGTCCTGAGCCCGCCACCCCGGTCAGCCAGACGTTGCACTTTCCATCCAGAAGGACTTTGCGTAACGGGTGATCATATGGCACAGCGGCAACAAGTCGACAAGAGAAATTGGTCGACTAGTTACGCTTATCAAACAGGGAATGGGTGAGGGTTACTGGGAAGCCCTGCTCTTGGGCAGACAACCCTGCTGGGATGTCCAAAGCCTGCACAGGCGAATACTATCTCCACAATCCCTTGCTTAAAAAAGCGAGTATGAGGCCTCTCCTGAGATATGACAAGCTATGAAAGAGTAAGCTAAAAGACGCTCAAGGGCCGAGCCATGTGGCTGCACCGGGGGTAACTATCAAAACCAACATGAACTTTCGGAGACAGTCCATGGCAAGGCTTCTTCTGACAGGAGCTTTGTGGTGATGGCATGGATGGAATCTAAACTCGATTGACTTCCCTGAGGCATCATTTGTGTCTCACAATGGAGATATCCCGGTGCCATACATGCGTGTGCGTGTGTGCCTTGTCTTGTTATTCTGGGCTACCACTTAAGTATGCTTTACATTGAGCCCGACCCTTTTTACATGCTGCAATTATGACCTGTTGCTGTGATAATTTAGCCCTTTCTCGCCTCCCAAGCTGTGAACGATTCTCGACTATACCAAAGTTGGGTGGTGCCAGTATCTACCAGGTTCTTAAGGGCTTTGACCAATCTCGGGATCGTGAATATCTGCACAACTAAGTACCTACCTAACAAAGATTACCATTCCGGCACGCTACATGAAACCTTCAGGGCTGACCACTCCGAACCTGATGCCGAGACTGTGATGTGAGCTTGGACCGACTGACGACGGCCGCTTGTGCCGTGCCATCAGCCCTAAACACACACAAATACCGAACTTGTGGTTTGTCGCCGTTATTTTGCCTTCCCTCTTCGTGTTCTTTGTTCCCTCCGCCGACCGACAACACATTTCATCCCTGCTTCTTCAACAATTCGAGTGTTGAATCCCTGAAACGACAAGATGCCCCCCAAAGCCACCGTCTCAGCCATCAACCAGCGACGCGCCAATCGTGGGACCGCTGATGGCGCTACCACCAGCGGTGGTACTGCCAGTGGCACTGCCGGCGCCGCGGTTGCCCATGTATTTCTCGAAAGCGCCGGGGGAAATGCTCCGACGGCCGAGCAGCTCGCCCGCCTTCTTCCCAACGCCCCGGCGGTGTTTCATGCCTACCTTGCTGCCATCAAGAGGGAAGAGGAGTCTTTGATCGCCGAGGTAGAGCAAAGAAAGGCTGCTGCAATCGCCGAGGTGGAAACTAAAAAAGCTGCTGCGATCGCCGCGCTCGAAGCCATCAGGGAACGGCTACGGCAAAAAGAGAAGGCCTTTGAGGACAAGGAAAGCGCTGCGACTGACAAGGACAAGCAAATGGAGGCCACACTCGCGGCACTTCTACACAAAATCAAGGAACTTGCCGTGGTCGTCTCTCCCCAAGCCGCCCAATCCGAACCCGACCAGCGCCTCGATGACCTTGCCGCGACGGGCATGGATAAAAGCAGCCAGGCAGCAGCAACAAGCGACGGCTTGACAACTTCCATCCCGCACACCCTTGAGCATCCGTCCGATGCCAAGGAGCAAAGCTCAGACCGACGCCGTCCGAACATCGAGATTCCGGACAAAGGCAAACAGTCCGACCCTGCACCGGACCAAAGCAACTTTGTGGCTTTGCGGTCAGAGCTCACACAGTACCTGCATCGCTACGAGGTCTGCGACAGCGAGATCGAGCCGACCTTTGTGGCGGGGCTCTTTGTGCGCCTGCTCGACAACGACCACTGGCGCGCCAACTTCGAAGAATACCACCTCCACGGGCCCCAGGGCATTATGCTGTGTGTCACGGCCGTAGCCATGCGGGGCCTCGACTGCGAGGAGGGCCAGTGGGACGAATGCTTTTGCGACGGCGACAGGCGGGGCGCCCTGCGTGGTTATTGCGTCCGTGTCGCGAAGCTGGAGCGGGAAGGTGGCCCCATCCGCTTTACCCGCGGCCAGGCCCTCTCAGTTGCCATGGTTCCGTTTTGGAGGGAGGAGTGATGGGGCCGATACGTTCGGTGCTTGCCCAGCGAGGGCAAAGGGCCAATTGCAAAATCTCAAGACTGCCGTGGTGGGAAGGATTTCGAGGGAGGCCTCCCAAACTTGCCGAAGGACAAAGGGAGCGGTGGGAAGAGTCGGCGTACAGGGGCACAACCACAAACATGTAATAGAACAGTTACCTCGGGGCCTGGTATTCCATCTCGTCCACAACAGTGCCTAGGGACCCAACTTTGGGAGTCTATCTCTCGCCGTGAACGATTCCTCTGGACGTACATGTACACATGGCGCATCATATGAAGGCCGCAACCCAGGCTTATACATTCACTGCCCATGCCGGACTTGGCATCAATCATGCAATTGCGCACTTCCTTTTATGTGTGGCCATATTGAATCTTCACCAGGATCTGATTCCATTGGCCTGGCGGTCACCATACTTTGCCCCCCCTGGCTTGCACAGCCCCAATACACAAGATGCATATACATCGCCCCCATAAGGGATATTAGCCGGATGATGAGAAACAAGTCTGTTGACGGCGTCTGCTATCCTGCTGCTAAGTTGGGGATGATGCTAGTAATATTCGGAATGGCGTTACCGCGTGAAGCTGGCGTGGGAGGATTCGGGATCTAAGGGCAGGTGTCAAGCCGGCTGGAACTAAAACGGCACGATCCCGGGACCACCCCCTCAACGGTATATGGCCGCCAAGGATGGCTGTGTGCATGCATGCTAGTTTCTGGCCGCCAGAAGGGAGCACCCCGCCCTTTTTAAGGTTGAGTTGAGCCATCTTAGACTCACTTCAGCACTTTTTCTTGTCTTGCAACTTTGGCCACCTAGTAACCCAAGTCCAACACCCCCCAAAACCAGCAAAATGGGCTCCAGCAACCCCCATCCCTTCTCCACCCACTCAACAACCTCCTCAGCCACCCTCGCCACAACCACCACCACCACCACCCAAACCCTCACCAACAACACCCCCCAAGCCGGCACCACCACCCCGCAGCAGCCCCCCCACGAGCCACACCAATACATCTACGTCTCGAAACGCACGACGCCCAACCCCGACGCGCAGCCCAAGCAGAAATCGCGGCTGAGCAGGTTCCTGTCCAAGTTCGAGAGCTCGGCGGTGCGACAAGCCAACGCGGCCAGGGAGAGCAAGCGGCTCGAGGCGGAGCGCACGGGGGTGCACACGCTCGCGGTGACGGGGACGCCGGGGAACGCGGCGCAGAGTACGGCGGCGTTTATGTGAGGTGCGGGATGGGGGGGATTGATGGGAGAGGGGGGAGGGGAGACGGGAGGGGTACGGGGTGTGTGTGTGAGTGGGGAGGGGACTGGAAGGAGAAGGCATACGGGATGGGTTGGCTGAAAGCTCTGTTGATACCAGCACCAGGATGTGTAGGGTATTAATACGCTGCAATGTCTACTGACACGCCGTAAGCTCTGTTGATACGGCGTGACATCTGTTTCTAGGCTATGATGCCCATTGATGCATGTTACGGTGTTTCTTACCAAGCTGTGGCGCCCATTGGACCATTGCTGCCTCTCTGGCAGGTCGTGGTGTTACCAGGGATAGAGGGTTTTCTAGTGATGTGACGCGAGCAGTTTAGGGGCTCAGAACCCACTTACTCACGCTGCTATTTCCCGACCCAACTCCACAAGTCTATACCACTGGGCAGAGATAAGGTACCTACCTAACCTTAGGTAGTACACGGTGGCATACCGATGCCTAGTGGCCGCCGATGGTACCAGCATAAGAGGACATTGACGCTAGGCGGCCGCTGGTCGTCTAATCTGGTGGTCATGTAGGTTGTTAGCGAGGGCGGTCGCTGGCCAGGTAGGGTGGATAGAGAGTAGAAAGTCCATTTTTGGCCCATGATTCTTACTTCTGCGGTGTACTGTACCGTTGCCATTTTTTCTTGCCATGCCATATCATCCATTAGCTTAACAACGAAAAAATGTTTGGGAGCATGTCTGTTGACGTTCAGGAAACCCACACGTGATTTATCACATGCATGGCGCCAACCCATTTCTTTCTCGTCGCCGACGTTCGTCAATTCAATTAAAGGTGCCTCGGTAGTTAAATGTATCGCATTTACAGAGCTCAATTTCTTTAAAAAGAAACAACGCTGTGACCCGACCCGCCAACCTCCCACCTAAGGGCCGAACGCAACAGCCGAGACCGCACAAAAGAGAGGCGGGAGGGTGGCATTTTAGAGTCATGGCGCTGAAAAGATAAAGGATTGCAAGATAGACCTCACTTACCGTTGGCAACACCAAGAATGGAGATACCAGACCTACAGAACGTTGACATAAGGAAACCAGTTGTGCTGGCGCTCAGCAGGGAATAGATTCATCACGCGCCTTGACAGCGATAGCAGGGCCAAGAATCGCCAAGGGGAGCATCCAAACAACTGTTCGTCGTTATAAACAAGCTTCGCCAAGCCTGGCCTCCGCTAACCGAACCACGGACAAGCAGAAGACCCGTCTTGGTGTGATCCAGATGTTACTATGTACAGCATACAAAACCACCAACCCAACATGAACCCGCCCAGCAGCCAAGGCAGCCACCTACCCTTACTCAATGTTGATGCTCGCCGACCCGCTGCTGCCGGGGCCGCCATCCGCCGTGTAGCCCTCCACAGCGACAATAACCGAGTCATAGCTGCCCAGGCCCATGCCCTTGGCCTTCCAGGCGTCAAAGTGCTTGGTGGTGGTGACGGTGCCGCCGACGCGCTTCTCCTTGCGGACGGACCAGTACTGCTGGAAGGTGCGCGTGCCCTCGATCGACGGCTTGTTGACGCGCGTGCTGGTGAAGATCTCGTACGTGCCCTCGCCCTCCACCGTGAACTCGCCCTTGGACGTCCACGGCTCGTTGGGCGCCAAGTCCGCGTGCGACTCCACGATGTAGTACTCGATCAGCGGGTTGCGCGTCCAGCCGTAGATGGCTAGGTAGCCGGGGCCGGTGGCGTTGTACGTGCCGGTGAACTTGATGGTTCTGTGGGAGAAAGGGGTTAGTGGAGGTGTTTTACTCGCGGTGGGTCTGTAGAGTCATGGATGGTTGAGCTCACCTGGCGCCTTGTCCGTTCCATCCCTTGCCGCAGACGAAGCCGCCTTTGCTGTTCCAGTTGGCGGTGAACGAGCCGCCCTGGCCGTTCACGCAGCGGATGTTGCTACCGCCTTCCGACCAGCTGTTGAAGCCGTTGCCGTCGAAGCGCGCCTGGAGGTTGTTGGCCGGCTCAGCGGTGGGTGCCGCGAGCATGCCGGGAACCAGAAGGCTGGCGGCCGTGAGAAGGGAGAATTGGACCATTGTGGATGAGATTGGAGGTTTGAATGTGCTGACAACAAAGAACCATGGGGCTGGGTTTTCCGTCTGGGATCGACGCCACGTCTAGTACTTATAGCCAGACCCGGGTGATTCGTCCCCCAAATTTAGCATCGTGATGCCCTGACGATCCATTGCAAAATAGCCATGGCCAGGTTCACACTGACGTGACTGGCTTGAGTGACAGCCATTTTCCCGAAACTAGGTGGCATACTAAGGTTGCATGCCGGTAGTTTCTAGTGGAGAGTTTGCCCAACCCCACGGCGCCGACGGAGGCTTCCAGGTTTGGGGATCATGCGTGATGGGACGCCATATTTAGCCTGAACCATCCCCGCAGATCTGTGTTGATCACCGGCCGCCCTGCCTCATGCAACCAAATTCAGAATCCCTGGTTTTGTGGGGTATTCCCGGTCACTACCGACGTGCCTTTTCCCGGGGACAAGGCGGCGACGGAACGTTTTGAGATAGATTAGCCCCAGGACGCGCGCCAATAATAACTTTATCCCAAAAGGTGCTTGTGCCGACTGGGCTCGGAAGGCCTGGTATGGTGTAGAAGAGTGCCGTACATAGACATCGGAGGATAAGACGGATGTGAAAAGGATATAGTATGGATGCACTGGGTAAAAGGGGATAACTGAGAATAGACCCTGGCCTCGTTATTGGCGCGCTTTGCGGTGGTTCATTGCTGCTCCAAGAACCGGGGCTGCCGTACGCTGTGCTGTCAATCCATCTGCTGTCCATGGCACCAACTGCGGGAGATGCACAAAGGGGTGAGGGTCCATCCCACGGATATCACCCCTCGGGCGAGTAAAAACGGTGACCCGACTACCCGGCAGGATGGATCGTCGGGTATATCACGCGTTAATTCTACGCCTGTCCAGATAAACGGGGGTACACTGGCATTGTACAATAACCAGACCGACTCACGAAACTTCCTTCTTGCCCCAACCCGGCTAAACTCGTGGGCAGCGGCGAACTACGTAACTCAGTTGCAGCATCGACGATGAGCTTATACAGCACTGTATCCATTGCTGGGAGTTGGCGCGTCTGATTAGCAAGGACAAGACAAGATCTATAAACAACGAGAATGTCCCATCTGTCATGACTTAGCAAGACAATGGCCTCGGAAACATGTAAGAGAATCACGCACAGTTTCAGCACGATCCCCGTCTCACCTCCTCGCTGGCCCGTACACAAGTCCCTGACATCCAGGGTTAGTTACGTAGGTAGGGTTAGCTGCACTGTCCATCAACTGGCTGAAGGTCAGCCATGCCCGTGCTAGTACTATCCCTCGCCCGTCCCCTCTCATGTCATTGACAAGGCCGAGAAAGAGGGGGGATAAACACGGGAGAGTGGCCCAAAAAGAGGTTGGATGGTGAGCTAAGAACTGAACTGAGCTAAGGTCAAGGAAATCTGCGGCACCATCAACGCCTTTGACGACGACGCCGGCACGCCCCTCTTCACCAAGGCCGCCTTCCGCGACCTGGCCCGAATCATCGCCGAGTCCAGTATCCGCCCCGTCCAAGCCAAAGTTGTCTCTCTCCACTTCCCAATAACGATTATTTAGGTCGAACCGCCAACGGGGTGGGGTAGTAATGAGGTTGCGGTGATGGCCAGACATTAGGGCTTCCAAAGAACAATGGGTCGTAGAAGGTGCCGCCAAATGTCTCGATCACTCTGCACTTCTCCTCCATATATCCCTAGCGTTCTGGATTGTCTCTAGCTGCCTGTTTGAATTATCTAATAGAACCGCCTCCAAAACCCACACCCCTCCTTAGTGATAAATAGAACGCTGCATCCTTTCCGGTCCCAGTCCCCCAAAGTCGTCCCCCGATGATCGCATGGACTTCTCTACACTAGGCTACCATACTACGCCGAGTAGCGGCATTTTGGCACAAAAACCATCCTCGTACATGCCCTGTCCGACAGCTGGTACAAGCTCTCGTACCTGTTGTCCAATTTCTCGAGCTCCCCTGCAAATTAAATTTCCTTTGACCCTCCGATTGTGTCTTCGTGATCGACCTTGCCCACTCCGATGTGCCTGGCATGCCTAGCCCAGCTTCTTCTGCCGGGATCTTGTCATGGACCGTGTTTTGGAAATCGGATTCGTTGAGATGGGCGTCGATGACGGTTAAACATCTTTTCCCAACCATCGGTGCAAGTACTCCTTTTTGTCCTCCTCGAAGCGGTTACCGGTCGCGAGGGTATCGCTCTTCACTGCACGACTATCTGAGTCGCTAACAGCCTCAGGTGGCGAGAGGGCAAAGAGCGTAAGCTGTTCCTGGTGCCGGCCCACATTGCATCGGTAGTGCCGTACCGAGTGAAGAAAGTGGTGGCAGAAGGGGCAATTGACGCCTGGCTTGAGAGTCACTGGTTCTTCTGAAATCTTTACCATGGCGTCTAGCTCAGCTGCCGTCTGTTTACCGGCGCCGCATACTTCAAGATGATCCTTGTACTCTACGGGCGATGAGAATTGCTCCTTCTGGCAGCTGATGCACTTATATGTCATCCATGGTTTTGCCTGACATGTCGAATCCAACCACGACGCCGACGGTACTCGCGTCCGGGTGTGATGCAATCAGGTTCGAGGCATATATCTATTAGGGTTAGTAAATGGGCGTTTTAGAAAGGCGATTGAAGGCTCAGCTAGTAAAAATCTTGAAAGAAACCAGAAATGATAGTGAAAGGGCATCTTACATGGCCGAAGGTCCTCATAGACATGTTTTCTTTTGCGTTTGGTTAGTGATCAGAATCAAGAAAGTGTTTAAGAGTACGTCGAGAATGGCAACTTACTTCCATGACATTTCATCTTTCGCCTCAATGATCGTGTAGCAAAGTGGACACTGGAACGGTCCATCTTGGGCTTCTTTGGGTAACGGAGGAACCATAGGTACGGTGTCGGCCAGTGACGTGGAGGAGGGCGCGTACCTTGCAATGGAAGTCGTCACCGTGTGGTTCTCGAGGGCTTGCCGCCGAACCGCTCAATTTCATTTAACTCGTGAGAGAGTTTTTCGTAGTGAGAACGCTGGTGATCCAGATACCGTCGCCTCCTGCCGATGGCCTCGCCGAGTTGTTCCGCGAGAAAGCGTTCAATGTGGTTGTATTTTGAGACCATGTATTGGACGTCAAAAGGCTTAGACCGGGGCTCGTCGGTGGACTGTGCTTCAGTGTATCGGTAACGGGGCGTCGGGTTACGGATAATGTTGTTGAAGCTAGTGAGACCAGTAATCGCCTCGGCCATGCTAATCGCGAGCTGCCCAAGCTGCGTGGTGGGCATCCCTCCATCCTCCTCCGCAGGAAATTGCATCCCTTCTTGTTGGAAACGACACTCAGACGGAAAGATCCGGGGAGAAAAGAATTGATTGATTGTTCTGTCTTCCTCGGTGGCGGGCATCGCCCTGACCTCCTTTTTATGCTTCTTGTTCAGCCCCTGGAATCCCTTTTGCATTAACTAGCGCATCGGCAGTCGAGATTCCGTGTTTCAATTTCCACAACTTCCAACACAAGTATCCGCAAGAAGGTTCCATGTGACGAAACCAACACTTCTAGCATCGGCCTGGGCAACCGATCCCACGGGATCACGTTCCCTTCGGCGATATCCAACGTCTTTTCGATCAGCTCTGAGAGGCGGTCCAAGCACAAAAAGACGAGTGATTCCACTGTAGACGAGGCACTTTGGAGCTGGTGGTCTAGAGACATCTTCCCGCCGTTACGGGGCCCAGTCTCATGGGGCTTACCATCTGCCATATAGTCTTGGCAAAGTCTACGTTCATTGATATCTCAAAAATACATATATATCTTTAGATTGATTGCTCTGGTACTCTCTCTTTAGATCAAACCCTTTATTGTTCTTACGTTGTTTTATCGGATGGTTAATTAACCTCAAAGCACGAAAAAAAACAAAAAAAAAACGGAAAGTACCTACGTACTTCGTTCATTTTACATTCTCTGGCCTTACAAATTTCACATTACATGCCATAGAGCAACTTACATTCGACGATGTGCTAGTTTATAGGATAGTCCTCCCTTAGTATTCAAAAGTAAGGGCCTACCCCATACCGGCTCCCCACCCACCTACCCTGCACCCACGTAGCTCCCAACGGACCTACCCTATGCTATACTGATTGGAGACCTGTTCGAACGATATGCTCATATACCCCACTACCACCACCGCCAACACAAACAGCCCCCATATGCCTTCATCCATGCCCCTGATACCTATCTGCCAGTGACTGTCCAGGAGCTCATATCCTTCAACTTTCATACACTTTCCCCAAGCCATCGGCGAAGAAAAGCCCACCTCCTACGCCTTCCGTAATCCGACCCGCCGGCTCCATGACCCATTCCCGGCATAAACAGCATTTCATAGTCCTTGTCCGCGTCATTCAATGCTTTGACAACCTGCAGCGTCGACGCAGGATCCACATTATCATCCAGCTCCCCCACAATCAGCATCAACGCGCCCGTCAGCGCGGCCGCATGCACGGCGTTGGAGTTGGCCGCGTACGCCTCATCCACCGGCCACCCCATCCACTGCTCGTTCCACCAGATCTTGTCCATCCGGTTATCGTGGCACCCGGAGTCGGCCACGGCAGCCTTGTAGAAATCCCCGTGGAAGATGACCGCCGCCGCGGCGTTCTGCCCGCCCGCCGACCCGCCGTAGATGCCCACCCGCGACGTGTCCATCCACGGGCGGGTGGCCGCCGCGGCGTTGATCCAGGCGATGCGGTCCGGGATCCCGCCGTCTTTGAGGTTCTTGTAGCACACGTCGTGGAAGGCCCGCGAGCGCCAGTTGGTGCCCATGCCGTCGAGCTTGACAATGACGAAGCCGTGCTCGGCGCCTTCTCGCTGTGAGAGGTTGGGTGTGAAGGCCTTGGGGGTGAAGAAGTCTTGCGGTCCGGCGTAGATGTCTTCGACGATGGGGTATTTTTTGGATGGGTCGAGGTTTGCGGGGGCGACGATAATGCCGTGGATGGGGGTTTGGTCGTCACGGCCTAGGGCGGTGAATCTTTCAGGTGGAGCCCAACCCTCAGCCAGGAGCTCGGCGGTCGCGTCGGCTTCGAGTAGGGCCAGTTCGGCGCCGGACCAGGCGTCCCGGAGGGCGGTGACGGGGAGTTGGTCGATGCGGGACCAGGTGTCGATGAAGTAGCGGTTGGTGGAGAACATGGTCCAGGAATGGGTACCGTCACCTGAGGTGAGGAGTGTGAAGTCGGAGCCGTCGAGGTTGACGCGAGCGAGGTGTGCGTAATAAGGATCTTGGTCCGGTACGACTCCGTATACGGTGAGCCACACCTGGCGAGCGTCCCAATCCACTCTCTCGACCTTTCTGACAACCCACTCCCCTTTGGTAACCTGACTCTTTACCTCCCCGGCTTTCATGTCGTAGAGGTACAGGTGATTCCACCCGTCTCGCTCGCTCGCCCAAAGAAGCTCCGTCGTGTCCGGAGAGACGAGGTAATACCGCTTTTGCGAGTAATCGAGAAACGTCTCGCTGCTCTCTTCCACAATCGACCTCACCGCTCCCTGCCGATGCATTCCAATCACTCGTAAGTGTTTGTGGCCCCGTTCGTTGAATCCAAAGAGATATTCTTCGCCATCTTTGCTCCAACCCATGTCCTCCAAGTTGTAAGGGTTTGCGAACAGGGAATCATCTGTTGGGACTTCGCGTTTGGCTTCGATGTCGAACATGCGGGGCCGGTCGATTCTCACTTTGTCTCCAGGTTTGAGGTAAGTGGTTGTGCTCAATTTGGGTTGGAGTTGGTCTGCGGGTGTTGACTCGATCAGATTGAGGGAATAGCCTTCGGCCGGCGAATATTGCCACACCACGGCAAATTTGCCGTCAGAGCAAGCCATGAGTCTGTTTGGATCGTATTGGAGCCCCGGTTCGTCGTTAGTGGTGATTCGATGCTCCCCATCTGCATCCCGGATCCAAACATCGCCGTCCCGCACAAAGATCCCACCATCTGCCAACTCCCTGATCTCTTGGACTTCCTTTTCTTCCTTTACCGGGACTTTCCTTTCCGCCAATATCTCTCCGCTCCCTTCCTTCCTCAAGCCCCAGCCCTCAACAACAATGAACCCTTCCCCTTCCAAGGCGCGATACACGGCCTGTTCCCCGCCCTCCCCTTCCACACGCCACACATGCCCCGCATAAGTTTCGATTCTCATTTCCCTCCCAGGCTGCACGGTGGCATATTGCACCGCCTTGCCGGAACCATCAATCCAAAACACCTTAACCGCAACCTCTGTCTTATTAACGATATTCACTCCGGCCGGATCCCCGGCGTTGTCGCTTACGGCGTCCCAATTGATAGGCTCCTGGGGTCAAAGTATTAGTCTGACCGGGCTGATATAGCATAGGCTTATACAGGGAAAACAAAACAAGAATAAAAAAGAACATACCAGCTTGGTCCCGAAGTCCCCATCCCAAACCTCCAGTGCCCGGTCATCGCTGCGGAACTGGAACACTCTGCCATCGAACCGGAACCGCACGGAGGCGGCGTCGGCGGCCAGCTCAATCCAGGAAAAGGGGAGAGATGCCGGGTTGATGTCCTGCCCGGTCTGTTCGCCGAGTTTCGTAGCCAAAGCGGTATGGTCAAAGGCCGGGCGGCGGACTGGCAAGTTACCGGTCGATGAGGATTCGGCATCCACAAAGAGAAACTCGGTTGTGTTGTCGGAGGCGGCGGTGCGCCGGTACCAGAATGCGCTGTCCGAAAGCCAGTGCGGCTTGACCGTGGCTTGGTCCAGGTAACGCTGTGCTGCCCAGGCCATTGTCGGTGTCGGGGCCGATGGCGTGTGTCTTGCAGGACCAGATTTGGAGCGTGCCGGTGGTATTTATTGTGAGGCGCGTAATAAAACCTAGCTTTCTGGCTTTGTTGCTGCTGTCGTTGGTCTTGAGTTATAGGGGCCGGGTGTGCTCGCCTGGGGACACGGGAGTAGGTGGTACCTACATATACATACAGTACATACCCATGGTAGGAGCTTTCGTGGCCTACTCACTGGAATTGCGTGTCCTAACACCGCGTACATCATTTTCCTTACCCATGACTCATATTGGGCATCTACGGGGATCCGAGTACATGGTGTCCCACCTCCTGCGGCTGAACAGCATCGTCCGGGACGACTCGGCTCATCCATGCGGTCTAGTCGAAACTGAGTAGAAGGCCAAGGTGGCAAGGTCGTAGGTCCTGTCCTGTCCGTCGGTAAGGAACACCAGGATTTGATTAGTACGCCACGAAGCTGGACGGTGATTCTGTCACGGTCTTGGCCGCAGCGACCAAGCGGTGCGGCGCTGACAGTGACCCGAACCAATCATGCAGTACAAGGGGCCGGCCAATAGGAGATAGATCGTGGGGAGAAAACCACAATCCTGAGATATCCAACCAGGAACGGATCGTCCGGGAACTCGCGTAAGGCGATCCAAAAGATTTATCGGGAGCAACCTGATGCCCCACAGCCCAAATCATTTAAAGCCTTGGGGTACGCAGGTGCCTCGGTAGTGTACTGAGAACAGTTTGCTACGGGCCGAGAACCACCGGTCCCATCAAGGCATCACCGTTGTCCATCCTTTGGACCAATTTTCCAGCAGAGATTGGTCACACATGCCGTGGGGCTGGGTCTCCTTCTCCTTAGAATACCGAGACCAAGTTTAAGATGTTGCCTTACCCTTCCTCAACCTCATTAACCCTTGGGATTTCCAGAAGGGTTGGCGAATCACGGCGGGAATTGGCCCGCAGTCACAGGGCCAACGCCTGGGTTCTGTCTCATCGCGAAAGCTTTCAGCGAATCGCGGCGCTTTGTGTCTTCTGGACGTCCCGTCCCCACTTCCACAGCGCCGCTGACCTGCTCCCGCTCTTCAATGCGTCCATTGCCTTTCAACTTTCAGGGGCAGGGATTCAGGGGCTGCGACATGCCAAGCCCAGCGAGCAAGTGCAACCTCAACCCCTTGATGTGCCGGCGTTCTTGAAAACTGCTGTAAGTCCAAGCATGTGAACATTTCTATTAAAAACTGAGGAAAGTTTCTCATCGTCAAGCCCTCTGTGGGCAGCCTTTCGTTTTTGTTTTCACGTCATTCTTTTGATACCACTACGGTACTTCCACTCCATAGGTACCTACTCAACAGCAGCAAGAATGGTCCGCTTCCGTACGAGCGTAATACACGCTTTCTTGGCTGTGACCTGGGACTGGTGTGATACCGTTACTGCCGGGCCGGTTCAGTCTGTAGGTGCGAAGAACTTTGGCCGCGATACGCAGAGCATTTCCTCCCCGAGCCGTCCGGAACCTGTCATGTTGCAACCACTCCGCATCCCTAGGCAGGGCAACTCAAAGCGTGATCGCCGAACCGCCCTGGAACTCAAGGGAGAAGAAACACTCTATTGGGGCGCTGAAGATGGCACCGTGGCAAGGCTTCGGATCGAAACGCCCGACGAGACCGAGAACCTGGTCAACCTCGAACTCATTGACGACATGGTCCGCCAAGTAACCTGTCCGCCCGCCGGCTCCGAATCAGGCACGCTCAAGCTGCAGTTCCTCGAAGAGGCCGACTTCGACGACGCCCAAGACATCTGGCAGTGGGTAAACCAGGCCGCCGATAACCGCTTCCTCTTGCTAGTCGGCGCGGGAGCCTGCGGCTGGAACACAGAACGCATCCCCTACAACGTCACGGGGCTGGTGTACAACGACGAGGTCGAAACGGCCATGCTGCAGGTCCAGCGCACAACCTGGAAGCAAGCAGCGCACACCTTCGACCTAACCGTGGGGCACACCGCCATCCCCCCCACCACCACCAACAACCACAACAACCACAACACCGCCCTATCCACAACCGCCCTCTCCCTCAACCCCGCCTTCACCATCCCCCTCACCACCAACCTCACCTCCCCCTCAGCCCTCACCATCCCCATCCCCAACCCAGCCGGCGCCGGCACCACACCCCTCACCCTCTCGGCCACCTGCCTCGCCTGCCACACCGCGGGCGCCCTCACCGTGCAAGCGCACTTCGCCGCGCGGTGGTTCGAGCTGACCGCCGCGGCCGTGGAGGTGTCGCTCCCGGAAGAACTCACCGCGACGGCGGTGCTGGCGCTCAGTCTGCGGGGGGATGTGGTTGCGCCGGTGGCGCGCAGCGTGCCGCTGGTGGAGCTGGCGCCGGGGGGCGTGGCGATTCCCGGGGTGGTGACGCTGGGGCCAACGGTGGGGGTGAGTTTGGGGGTGGAGGTTGGGGGGGTGAGGGGGGCGGCGGGGGTGATGGTGGGGGGGATGGCGAAGTTGGACGTGGGGTCTCTAACGATTGTCGTCGCTGATGTATGCCCGGCTGTTAAGATCCTGACTCTGTGGTATCTGGCATCTTCTTCTTATGCTCCATCCCGTTGCAACCCGTCGGGCGGGAGATTTGATAATAACTCCTACGTTTTGATTCTGCAAAATTCCTTCCTTCCGTGAGGAATTTGATTTAAGCTGCACTCTGTACATTGGGATTCCTGCACATACTGCATCATTATCTCTTAAGACACGCAGACCTTCTTGCTCTGTACGGGGGTTTCATCGTAAACACTTACTTCTACTCTGAGCCCGTGCATCCCAGTCCAAACCGGCATAGGCTTATCACTTCAAGGCCGATAGCATTTGCTTGGGCTTTATCCCC